CTATAGGCCGCCAATGAAGAAGACGAGGATGGCATTTTGCCCGAAATCCTCTTTTTCGGCTTCCCAACATGCAAGCCACACTCCATGCTTTTACCCTTCTTTCACAGAAGTACACAACCAGTGACGTCACATGGCTGTTTTGGCCGCGCCAAGATGGCCGCCAATTTTGATCCCAGCCGGTCAACTTCGAATGGTTAAAAATGTACTTTCCGCTATGCGTTGGCCCAAAAAAGTACACAGCGTTTGCAAATAACGTTCAAACTCTATTATATTGCAAAAATCTCGGATATGAAAATTACGTTTCAGTAGCACTTTAATTTTTTTGCTTTCAAGGACTTGAAAACCCTTGAATTTAGACTCAGATCCTTGAAAATTTCTGAAAAGTCTTTGAAAATAAGTGCAGATGAATCAAAATCAAAGTTTTCTTTTGTTTCCTGTGTTGAAAGTATAAGTTTCTGGCACAAATCACAACAAGAGTTTTCCTTTTAAATCCCATAACCCATTATGATGTTTGACATGTGATTTTTATATATTTTGTACCTTACGAAGATATGAGTGTGTTTCTATATCTGTTACTTTTAACAATAAAGAGCAATGCTTTTTATTTCTATTAGCTCCTATTTGATGCAAAAGTTCTTGAATTTGAGAGCCAAGGTCCTTGAAAACGACCTAAAAAGTCCTTGAAAGTCCTTCAATTGGGTTCCTGAAAAAGAGCAAGAACCCTGAAATGTAGTACGTGTTGTAGAAAGGAGTAAACATGTCAATGCAAACTGTATTTAGAGTAATGGCACTGACTCAAGGTCAGTCCTACGTGAAATATTATATATTTGCATACATGCAAGTGGCATCTGTGACATGAAACTGTGTGTCAAGCACGTCTTGATAAAAACTACCTCTTAACTAAGTGAGCCCAACCCTACCTGACTATCAGTGTTTAGTTTTATTTTGGCAGATGACTTGCTTTTGTGGAAAACATCATTCATTGATATACTTATATCAGTACAAAATTTTGTTCTTTTTGGAGGAAACCTAACCTTAAGCCTTAACCTTAACCATAAGCCTTGTGGTTTCATTTAAGTTTCCTTGTCATATACATTGTTGCCTTTAACTAAGCTTACCTTGCCTCCTTGTAAATTTTTATAGTGTGGCAAATGAATTAATAACTTACTTTTGTGCAACCTTTGTTGTTTTAGGTCTTTAGTGGTAACCCTGTGACAAATCTCATTGTAAAAAATGATCTGAGGAAGTATGCATTGGCAAGGTTCATCCGTTTTTTGCCAACAGCATATCATAGCTTTAAGGCATTGAGAGTGGAAGTTTATGGAGAGCTACTATCTGCAGGTATTTATTCCTTTTCCCCATATTGCACCATTGAAATCCTAAAGGTATTGGGAAAATTGGAAGGGAATGTTAGGACTCATTTTACTTGAAATGTTGTATGAAAAATATGGGTGTTGATCCTAATAGAGTATCTGCCTCAGTGTATCAGTATAGGTTATGAGATTTTATACAACATTTTAAGTATACTGATACACTGAGGCAGGTACTCTATTAGGATCAACACCCATATTTTTCAATTAAAACATATTCATACCATGCCATAGACAATACAGCCAATCAAGGTCCAGGAAATCAGTTGTATATTTGATGGTATTGGGGGCAATCTTCTTATGGTAGTGACTAAAACGAAGATCCCCAAAATGAAGACCCTCTACCAAAACAAAGACCCCCTGCCAAAACGAAGACCCATTACCAAAACGAAGACCCATTACCAAAACGTAGACCCTATACGCATTACCAAAACGAAGACCCATTACCAAAACATAGACCCATTACCAAAATGAAGAGCCTTAATAAATTCGTTATGTTCATGAGACACTACGAAAACGAAGATCCTTACGCAAATATTGAATTCTGAATTTGGCGTGTCTAATTTATTGCGGAATATTTCAGCAGTAGAGCCCTATGGAACTTTAAATGTGACTACTTTAAAGCTAAAACGAGATTTGATCAAAGAGACAGGACATGCACATGAAAGATGCATTGCGTGAAGCTTTAAGCGATGCAGGTAAAGATAACATTACAAAAGACAACTGTCAAGAAGAACGTATGGAATTCATGGGAACCGATCACCTCGCCACCATGGAGTCTCGCCACCACAAAACGACCTCGCCACCAGCCAACTCGCCACCAAGTGAAGTCTTCTCGCCTGCCGAACCTAATTCGGAACGGCTTTGATTCAGACGCTGTACTTTTCATCTGCCGATCCAAATCCATAAATTGTTATAATGTATTTTGCACAAATAATTTGGGTCGGTCTAAATTCAAATTGAGTTTGGCTCATGAAAAGTTCGGCGTCTGAACCGGGCCTAAGGGTGCGAGAAAAACAGAATAAACAGAAGCCTTTTTTTTGGAATCGGCCATGCTAACATTAAATATTTTTCAGACTTACATGGAAAGCTTCACTCTTGTTAACTTCCCGGACACGTTTCTATCAAATGGAAGCTCGTGTATTCAAGAATTTCTTTTCGAGATGAGATTTAACTTTTCCAGCAAGAGGGGGCATTGAAGTACCAAACCGTAATGAAAAAGGCAATAATATCATTTTTAGCTCTGTAGGTTTTGCTGGCTGGTTTGTAGAATTTAAAAAATGCGCAATATTCACGCCAAAGCCGGTCCAAAAATATTCTGATTAAAAAGTCACACTTTTGTAACAATAGAAATGCGAGACAAATCAGGCCCATAGCCAGTTTAAGCTCGGTTTTCTTTTTTGGGTCCTCTCTGAACCAGTGAGAAACCAGGGAAAACCTATAAATAACACTTTTTTCAGACATTGTTCTGTTCTTAGCTAAATCTCGTTTAAACATTACATACCTCTAAGTAGGATTCTTTTCGCGCATAGCATAAACACTCCCCCCATCCACAGGAGCAATCATGGAGGATTTACGGTAATTATAAAATTTATAACTTTATTGTAGTAGTATAATGCATGAGACAACTGAGTCCAAGAGATAAACGTGAATACCTTCAACATCTCAGAAATATTACATACCACTAAGAAGGATTCTTTTCGTGCATAGCTTTGACCAAGAAATAAATGATGCATATGTTCGTTCTTGGATTATGTCAACTTCCAGAGGAAGATAGTGCAAATTTTTATGAAAGATTTGCTCCATTTTTTGATCCTTTACCATTTTTCTTGATAAACCCAGGTACGTATTTCCAGTAGAAAAGAAAAATATTAGCAAAAATGTTGTGAGATTATTAACATAGATTAGTGTGTTTTTCTTTATAATTTGTAAACAAAAAGCGAAAAGCAAAATCAACAACTGTTAATGGAGGAACCGGCACTTGCGTTGTATTTTGTTTGTAATAAAAGCAAATTTTCGTCCAAAACTTATGCATGCATATGAACAATGGAAGAGATTATTAAAAATTTTGGCTCAAATGATAACTATCTTAAAACCGTATCCAAGGAAAGACTTTACTTAATATTGTACGTATTAGGACTCTGAGGTTACGTAATCTATTAAGAAACTTATTAAACATTATAAATGGTAATCTATTAAGACTTTGAAGTTAACTTATTAAAAATTGCAAGCATTTTTGATTGACAAGTTACGGCGTAAAAGTTACGACATAAAATTTATTTGACAAGGTTTTGATTGACAAGTTCTAAAGGTGACATTTTACGTCGTAAAAAATACGACGTAAAACTTTTTGATAAATTACGATGTAACGCGTAGTCAAAATTGAATTTTATGTCATAACGCGAAGCTCCTCGTTTGAAGACGTTGAATGTCCACTGAACAATAATCGAATTCTCGCCGTAAAATAGACGTTGGTGTATTTGATGGCGTAACGAGGTGAATACAAGGTATTATGTCGTAAAATTTAGGACGTGATAGCCTTGAACGTAAAAAAGGTGTCAGAAAGTCAAATATGTGCTCAAAGTGTTTTGAGCAGTAATGAACGCCATACACACAGCTTCCGACCGACACCAAAACAAGAGACATGAGGCTGAATTTTCTAAACACATATGGACGCTGAAGGACAATAACAAACCTTTCAAGCTAACGTGGAAAATCATCAAACAATGCAAACCCTACAGCAGCATTACTAAGAAATGTTATGTCTTTTTGAAAAATTCACGATCATAGGTAAAAAGGAACTTTGCAGTCTAAACAACCGAAGTGAGCTAGCAAGTTCATGCCCACATAGAAACAGATACCTTCTTAAAAACTTCATAATAAAGTAACAATCTCCGAAATTATACATACCAGTCACATGACTTATATGGAAAAGTAGCGTTGTTTTTATATCTCCTAGCAACCGTATTTCAGCTTTTATAGCCAGTCATTGTAAGTTAACGGTCAATCGTTGAAATTACCTCATGAGTGTGGTCATTTTCGACCATACAAATCAGAGCTGTGGTAATAAAACGATGAACTACCTCTGAAGTCTTGAACCAGTTTGTTATAATCATGAATATATGAATTCCATATGTTCTTCTTGACAGTTGTCTTTTGTTATGTTATCTTTTTCTACATCGCTTAAGGTGTCACACAACGCATCTTCCAGGTGCATGTCATGCCTCTTCGATTAAATCTCGTTTTAGCTTTAAAGTAGTCACATTTAAAGTTCCATAGGGCTCTACTGTTGAAATATTCCGCAATAAATTACAGACACGCCAATTTCAGAATTCAATATTTCTGTAAGGATCTTCATTTTCGTAGTGTGTCTCGTGACCATAACGAATTTATTAATGGTCTTCGCTTTGGTAATGGGTCTTCGTTTTGGTAAGGGGTCTTCGTTTTAGTAACTACCGTCTTCTTATAGTGTGTTATGATCTTATTCCTGCCAAAATCAAGCAAGTGCATGAAGCTGTTTCTGTTTTATTTCAAGTGTTGTTTGAGCCATGTCAGAATCAAATTTTTTCCTTAATATTAATGTTTAGGTACTGACAAAATACAATTGACCTGTGGAATAGTCCATGGTGGACCACTCCAAAGCATTGTATAACTGGTATATTAGGTGTATTTGAGTACATATATGTTCTGTGTATGTAATCACATTTGTAAGGTATCCCCTAAGGAAATCAGGCTACAACTTAGTTCTTTCTGAAATTTCACTCATTTAATCCATCTCGGAGGCATGTAGTCACTGAGGTTCTTTTGATGTCAGACTTGGAAGACCTTGAAATTCAGACTTGTGACATTTTAGGGAGGACAGGTTACCTCTGTGATAGTACAAAAACAATACTTTGTCATTCTTAACCACTTTCATCTCTGTTGACCAATCCAGTCCCCTTATAGGCACTTGAACAATGTGAAACTGCAAATTTAAAATATGGTACAATAATTTTTATTCAACAATCTAGGTCCATCACAAGCTCCAGGCAACCTCACTGTGACTGTAATCTCATCTACCAGTATAAGAGCATCATGGACATCGCTGCCAGAATATGCCAGACATGGAAATATAACAGGATATAAGTTGTTCTTCAGACACCAAGGCTCAGCAGACAATTCAGTCATGGAGCTTGTTGTTGGAGCAGCAACATTAGCTAAAGATGTCATTGATCTTGATAAGTACACAAAATATGAATTCCAAGTGTTGGCTGTTAATTTTCGCAGTGAGGGGCCAAAAAGTTCTGTAAAGGTTGTGCAGACATTGGAGGATGGTAAGAGGCTAAAACTGATCAGTGTAGGTTGTAAAAGATTTTACTTAAATAAACACTGGACTTATTTGAATGAAACTGGAACATACATGTTCATCTTGCCAAGGTTGCTGTATTGATTTTATGCATGATATTGTCAGAGTTATTATAATAATTATTATTATTAAATGGCTTCTGCAGTGTAAATGAACATGTATTATAACATAACCAAAGTAAAGCGCATGCTCTGATTGGTCAATTCAGCATCCACCATTTGCCCATGGGTGTACGCTGCTGATGTGAGTAAATGCAAAGACTAGTTTTCTGCGCACGCTTGTTTTTTCTGGTCACATAAGATTTGTTAAATAAAAGAAAACTCTTTTGCTTCAATGTATCAATGTTATAAAAAAATGTTATCAATGTTATAAAAAAAATGGTAAATGCCACAGTGTACACTATTGAGTTATAGATGCACTTGGGAGGTTTGCTAAGCACTCAAGAAGCTAGAGTCGCTCTCAGCTATCGCCTCATGCAACTCCTACGCTTCTTTCATGCTTTGCAACCTCCTGCGTGCATCCATAACTAAAAAGTGTATGCTGTGGTGTTAACCATGTGTTAAAAAGGTCATCATTTAAATTTTGCATTTTCTCTGCCGAAGGTTAATTTCATGAGTGTAGTTATAGTAACTTTCATCTTCCATTTCTTTACTATTTTAGCACCAGGCATTCCTTCAAACCTTTCACACTCTGAGATAATGCCAACTAAACCATTTGCTGCAAAGATAAAGCTTACTTGGCATAAACCAGCAGAAGAAAATGGAATTATTAGGAGATACACAGTGTTCTATAGTCACGATGAAGATCCCCATAGTATTCACACTGAAACCTTAGGAGAAAATATGTTAAGTTATACAGTGGATGTGTTAGGTGGGGTCACCTATCAGTTTCACATCAGAGCTGTGACTATCAAACCAGGACCAAATGCCACTGTGTCTGTTCAAACTAATAATTATGGTAGGTGTGAGTCAGTGAGTCAGAAAACATTATAACCAATTAGATTTACTTTGACCACAAACTTAAATGTTATTTAATAAGTACATAGAGGGTAAGAGAAGATGGGTACAGGAAGGACTCTCCTTTTTAACTCCAAGTGCTCAAAATGGGTTTTGAGTGTCTTAAGACTTGTCTTGAACAGCTTGAAACTCAACGTAAGCCTCAATCCTAGAAAAACTGAGTATGGAGGATCAAGCTTGAGGGACTGTCAACTTTCTTTTGAGCAATACTGTAGTACTGAGGACTGGTGAATATGTTTGTATTTACCGTTAATGACTACTTATCAAAAAAATAAAAATACAAGGAAGGGGGAGTAAGAAGAGTTACTGACAGAAATACAGAAAATACATTCTAGAATATTTATAATATTCTGACAATTATTTAATTTAATTCCTATAATTTTGTTTCCTTTTTTAGAACCCAGTGTAGCACCTAAGGATATGTTTTTTAGTACACTAAACCAGACAACCTTCAATATTTCATGGTCACCTCTGACAAGAAAAGAGAGTTATAGCAAAGTTATCTCATATGAGATCAAGGCATCACTTAAGTCCTCTGGAAGTCAACAAAAAAGGTCTCCAGACAACAGCAAAACTGTTAACACAACAAGAGCATTTGTTATCCTGTATGATGTTCAGCCTTGTTACAGTGTATCTGTACGAGCATATACAGTAGCTGGTCCTGGACCCTCTAGTCAACCTTTACCACTGGAAACATTGTGTGAGTTTCAATTTTTTCAACCAATTTGAGCATGCAAATGTTTGCTTTGAATTCATCAATTTCAACTGCACAGAAGCTTAACGTTTAAACTAATTCCAAATCACCAGTAAAAGTTAAAAAGGTGAGATATTGTAGAACTACTTGAAGCATTGGTTTCAGCTTCAGTTGGCTAATAGGAAATTATGTCCAGTGAATTAACATGTACCTCCTTGTGTGTCCAGGGAAACAAGTTTCAGTGTTTCCCATAACTTTTTCATAAGCTGTAAAAATTTATTTAATTGTCACACTCACTTTGTCATTATAGTAACTTTTTTAAAATTTATTTTTATTCTTATTACAACATGGATTGTGCATACAAAGAAAGCAAAATATTTACAGAAAAAGTTGGAAATTAACAAAAGTACTAAATACCTACACAAAAGAAGAAACTTACTTTTAACAAAAGCTATGATACCTTTGTTATTTTTTTTCCTAATATGTCAAAGCAGCATGGGCACCCAACAACCTAGGAGCTACAGACTCTCAGTCAACAGAGCTGACACTGGAATGGGAAAGACCCCAGACTGCTACTGGAGAAAACTGGAAGGTGCAGTACTTTATCTTTTTTGTCTACTTTACTGAAACAACATGGGTTTTAAAGGAAAATTTCCCCCAACATTTTCCAGTTGCAAATCAGAAACTTTGTCCTTTTTGTGATTTTTGTAATTCCTAGTGTAAAGAGTATTTTTAATTGAGTACATTGGTATAATGACCACTGTCCTGATGAATAATTGTACCAGGGAAAATGTAATGTGCCATTTGTATGACTACAATATATGAGCAGCCTCTGTAATAGTTTCTGTGACAAGTCAGAGGAATGACTTGACTTTTCAAGCTGTCTGTCATTTTACATGTACATGTGACAACTCCTTTATAATAATAATGTTTTTTGTTTTGCACTGTGACCATGACAAAGCAAGACTAGAGAGATTTTATCGGTAAATAAATTAAGGCAGATGTGGTATTAATTGGCATTTGATTCAATGGGTTTTGTTTGATCATTTAAGGTTGAGTACTCTGGGAAAAAGTTATACAACAACAGCTTTTTACATGAAGGCAGCAAAGATGTACAGGGGACAACAAAATGTACCCTAAATAATTTGGTACCAGGTACCAAATATAAGTTTCACGTTTATGGAATCTCAGAATGTGGAAACAAGGGATCCCCTACATATTTGGAGAAGGAAACAGAAATAGGAGGTAAGCATGTATCTCTTAATCATTTGACCCCTAAGAGTGACTAGCATAATAATAGTAATAGTAATCAAAGTTTAATGTCTTAACGTGGGGCATGGTTACCCATATTGCCCGAGCCAGAGGTTCATGTATGAAACGCAAGACAACAACCCACCCAGGGGAGGACATCCATCACACAGTAATCTCATGCATGGGAAATTAACCTAACCCTGCAGGAGACGGGACCTCCATTTATTCATCCCTATCCGAGAGGACTAGAATATCTAACCATTTCTTGATGTTATAGAAAGGCAGCATATTCTTAATTATTTTAAGACCTTGAGTGTTGGTCCGGCCAGGGCTCTAACCCTCGAACTCCCGCACATCAGTCCAGCACTCTATCCATTGAGCTAACTGGGAGCATCTAATTGTTCTTTACAATATCACCCCTCTATGATCACCAACTGAAGAAGCTCTTGATTTTTAAACAAATTCTCCTTGTCAGCGCCTTAGGAAATGACTGTATGGAGATCAGTATGGAGAATATGCACACTGATCTTAGTGTAACAGTTATGCTAATCATTATTATAAAATTTCCTTTTTTCCCCAGAGCCATTGGCTCCAGTTGTACCATCATTGACCATCAGGAAGGTTTCTGAGTCACAGGTTGAAGTTGAACTGTGGCCTGCAGAACAAAGGAATGGTCCAATAAGGTGACTGTTCTTTCAATTATTTTTTAGGTCTTGTATACAGACTCTTTGTCTTTAATATTTCAGTGATCTTTGTGATGTTTGATCAGAATAGTTGAAATAATCGTTTTCCACTCTTCCAGTGCTTATCAAGTCATTGTTCTGAGAGTTGTTGATGGTGTTGAGACGCTTCCCGCTGAGTATAAATCACAGTTAGAGGATTCAAACAAAGATAGCCTGAACTTTTATGTTGCTGCCGANACGCCATGTTGGAAAGTGCTGACAAGATTAAAACGGTGTTCATTTATAATTATGTGCATGTGATGCGTGCACATCGTCCCCATATGGTGCAGAAAGATGTAAGTACTGAAGACCTGGCTCGATAAATCATATACAGGTACTGCGTATGGAAAATGACGATTCATTGGTTAACGATTTTGTTTCTTTGTAGGACCAGTATGTCTTTTTGCATCAAGCTGTGATGGAGGCCTTGACCTGTGGAAATACAGAGGTTGCTCCCCAGGACTTACGAATAATGGTTAACAAACTTTCTAGAGATACTAAATCTTGTAAAAACGCTGGGTTTGGAGAGGAGTTTAAGGTAATTGAAGACTATTCCACATTTCACATGAAAACATTGGAATCCTGATATGAAGACTTCAGTTTTTCGTCATTTTTGCATTGAGTTACTCTTGCAGCACTTTCACAACTGAAAATGTTACGTGCTATCGCTTTTTTTACTTATCAAGTTCACTTTTGGTACCTGATGAAATTCAATTTTGCTTGCCTTGAGATCTTCTCGTGTATTGGTTTTTAAGAGCGTGTCTGTTTGTACAGAGAGTTGCCTGACAAGGGAGAAGTTCTTTCATATGACAAGGGAGAGGTTCTTTCAGAGGTTCTTTCATGCATGTATTATATTTTCTCTTGATGATACTGTTGTCAACATTATTTGTGTTTTAGCGTCTCCAGTTTGTCAGTGACTGTCTCTCTTCTGGAGAAGAAACCACAGCAGCATTTCAACCTTCAAACATCGACAAGAACAGGTTTCGAAATATTCCTCCGTGTAAGTGGTCTCCTTTAGCCATCTTCATAATATCACCATAATTAAGATAGTTCTTTAATCAATTACAAAATTCTTTAAAAAGCGTTGATCATTGCAATCCAAAAGTCACGGCCAGGAGTTGATAGTGCTGGCTCTTTATTGGCCTAATTCTTTTAGAAAAAAAGGAAGTTTGTATATCCATTGAGTATAATAGCGGTTTTTCTTTTTTTGTGTGCTAGTGAATACTGCTAGAGTCCACTTGATGTCTTCTCAACCAGACGGAGACTACATCAATGCTTCGTTTGTAAATGTAAGTACATCAGTTATCAGTTCTCAAGATTTTTTTTTCTTTTTAGTTCTGTGTCGAAACTAATAGAGAATTAAATATGTTTATTACACGACTCGGGCAGTCAGAGGGCCAATAACTAAACTCAACCAATCAAAATGCTCTATTG